CACCAGGCTGTACCCAAAGAAGGTGCCAGGGCACCAGTGCGATGTGCCTGGACCAGGGAGAAATACAGGGATAGGGGTAGACCAGGCACATGGTAGACCAGGGAGAGACTCGTGCACGTGCGCGCGCACACACACACACACACACACCAGCACTAGCGGGCAGATGCCAGGGGGCAGCTCCCACATTCTCCCTCCCACAGCTCTCAGGGCTGCCATAGTGACACTTACTTCTTACAGGGAGAGAATGACACATCTAGACAGAAAGGTGAAGAGGTACTCTCCCAGACAAGGTGCACGGTGAAGCCACAGTGAGAGAAAGGTTCAAGCAACGGAGCCAAGGTTACCTTGATCGTCACGGGGGCTGGTACAACCTTTCCTCCTAGGGAGGCAGAATTCTGCGTGGCAGTTGGCTGAGGTCACTGCAATGGGATTTTGCAGAGTGGGGATTGTGCATTGGGCACTGTGACTACATGAGGCTGCAGCTCTCCACTCTCCAGACTTGTGAGGGGCACTCACCTGTGGGATGGCCCAGAGCAGTGAGCTGGGGTGGGAAGACTCAGACTTTGTGACTGGAATGCTGGCATGGGATCAGTCTGGTCCAGCCTCCACCCTGCTGCAGACGCTCTGTGATGCGATGTCCTAGCCAGCCCATCCCCATGTCCTCCTGCTCCTCCAGTGTGCTGGGGGTGGTGCTGCCTGGGTGAGGAAAGCTTGCTGGCTGCAGCTCAGGACTCCAGCCCTCACATCATGCATGTCTCAGTGGTTCCCCCATCCCCCAACTGTGGCTTCCTCTAGGTGCACTTCAGCTGGATGAATCAGGCCACCAGAACATCCACTTCCGTTGAGGATGAGAACATGGGAGAGGCAGGGGCTGCAGCACTTACCATGATGCCTTTAGCTTTTTTCTAGACAGGTTATGGAAAATAGGGAAAAAGAATAACCCCCGCCCCCGCCCCTGAGGACTCCATAGCACGAGGGACTACAGTGTAAAGGCTTGAGGAGTCAAGGGGTGGAGGGCAGGGACCAGGTGCCTGGCTTCCTCCCAGTCTGTGGCTCAGAGGACGTCCCTGGCTGCCAGCTGCTATGGCTGGGTGCTGGGGACAATGGCAGCAAACAACTACATGTGCAGGATCCAGACTCCTGCAGGCCTGACATCTTCCAGGACCCTACATGGGCACAGTGACACAGTGACACAGGGCCAGGCCCTGTGTGATGGACTTGTAGCTGTTGTCTTCTGTACTAGTGACACAGACACCGAGGTCTCCCCATGTGATGCGACTGTCATGAAAGACGATCCTTGTGTGCTGTACTGACGGCAGGCACGTTCTGGTGAGGCTCCTTTGGGGAACAGACACAACACACACCAGATATGGCGCTCGCTAAAGAAGGCAGCCACGTGTGATCAGGAAATTCCCTCATTAAAGGCAAATCCTCCCAAGAAGGACCTGACCTAACTCTAAATCAAAGTGCCATCTTGGGACAGTCTCCTAGCAGAGGAGACATAGCTCCCAGCACTGTGATGGGATGGGACACTCCTTGGAGAAGCTTCGCAGCCTCTGACCATTTCTTATTTTGCCTACATGTTGGGAAGCTCACGGGCTCCCCAGCTCCATAGCTAAGACATCCCACAGAGATTTAAGAGGAGGCAAGACACAATGGGCCCGGCGGCGTGGCCTAGTGGCTAAAGTCCTCGCCTTGAACGTGCCAGGATCCCATATGGGCGCTGGTTCTAATCCCGGCAGGTCTACTTCCCATCCAGCTCCCTGCTTGTGGCCTAGGAAGGCAGTCGAGGACGGCCCAAAGCTTTGGGACCCTGCACCCGTGTGGGAGACCCAGAAGAAGTTCCTGGATCCTGGCTTTGGATCGGTGTATCACTGGCCATTGCAGTCACTTGGGGAGTGAATCATCGGATGAAAGATCTTCCTCTTTGTCTCTCCTCCTCTCTGTATATCAGACTTTCCAATAAATAAATAAATCTAAAAAAAAAAAAAGACACAAGTGGGAGAAGGAGCTCCCTGGCCAGAGGTAACCACTGACCCGCCCCCCTCCCCCATCTCTCATGAGAGCCACTTTCTGTGCCTTGCAGACATTGCAGCTACCAAACACGTCAACTGGGTGTCAGCCTGAGGGCCAGGGAATCAGGCACTTCTGGGAAAAGGCCCAGGTCCCCCAGGCTCTCCCAGCTAGTATATTACAGGCCACTGAGTCCTCCTGGAAGCCAAATGAATCTTCCCACTCAACCACATGCCCTGTGAGGCTGGAGTGATTAGCGCAGCCTCCCCAGACACCTGGCTGAACCGCTGCCTGCTTCCACTGGGCATTAGCAAGCGGGGGGTGGCCAGGCCAGCAGCAGAGCATGCAAATGGTGTGACAATCCTCTAATGACTGGGGCAGGCATGGCACACACCTGAGTAGACCAGTACCTCTTGATGTCGAGAATGACACACAGCATCAACAAGCCAGCAGGAGCACCAGTAGGCTGGGAGGCAGCCCTGGCAGGCTCCTTGGTGGGACAGGCACTTGTCTAAGCAGTAGCTCCCCACTTATCTGCAGGGTATGTGTTCCAGGGACCCCACAGACGCCTAAAACTACACAGAGCACCAAAACCTATAAAGAACAAGGGTTTTCCCCTTGTAGGTATAAACTCATGATAAAGTTTAATGCATAAATTAGGTACAGCAAGAAGAGATGAAGAATAGCTAATGACAAAATAGAACAGTTACAACCATAGGCTTCAATCAAAAAGCTATTTAAAACATGAATGTTTTGCTTCTGGAATTTTCCTTCTTTCTTTAAAAAAATTTTTTTATTCATTTACATTGGAAAGGCATAGTTTCAGAGGGAGGAGAGACCGAGAGAGGGGGGACGGTGTGAGAGAGAGAGTTAGAGACCACTTTCATCTGCTGGCTCACTCTACAAATGGGCGTAGTGGCCACAGTTGAGCTGATCTGAAGCCAGGAGCCAGGAACTTCGCACATGACTGCAGGAGCACTAGGACTTTGGCTAGCCTTTCCTGATTTCCTAGGCCACAAGCAGGGAGCTGGAGCGGAAGTGGAGCAGCCGGGTCTTGAACTGGTGTTTATATGGCATGCTGCTCCCGCAAGCGGAGTCAGCCTGCTAGGCCACTGCACCAGCCATGATTTTCCATCTGGTATTTTTGGACTGGCGTTATCTGCGGGTGACTAAAAACCATGGAGGGTGGGCCTACAGCTAAGAATGAAATCACTGTACTCCCAGAATAACAGTATCAATGCATGGTTCATCGTCTAGCCAAAGCTTAGCCAATTTTCGCTTAGAAATCACCCTGTAGTTTACGCTACCAAGAATGGCTAAGACAAAATTCATGAGGCCAAGAAGGACCAAGGCCACAAATGCTGGATGATGTAATGAGCAATTAAGTCCTCAAGGGGGTCCTTGTATCTGTAGCCCTGACTTTAAACAAAACCACAAAGCAACAAGGAATCAACATCTAAATAGACTTTTATTTTGATTTCACTTGTTTGGACAGAAAAGAAAAATTCATCAGCTTTCATCAAGAGTCTCCCTAAGTGTTGGAAACACATTAAACTCAGAAATAGTGGACCTCGTAGAAAAGCATCACAAATTAAAAATAGATTTCTCCATGTGGTAAAAGTGCTTTCAATCCAATTCAAGGGCACAGCAAAAGTGTTTTGAGACACAATCTAAAATTTGGCCCACGGTCCATGGCATCGAATTAAAACCGCAGGGCGAGGGTCATCACCATGAACTTGAACAAAGATGATACAGGGGTTTGGGAGCATGCTGCCAGCAACACTTTTGTTAACTGAGTGTGAACAAGAAAAAACGTCCCAAAGCCTGAGTAGAATAGGTTTTGCATTTGTAAAAATGAGGTGTTGACATAAACTGGGTTGCACGGTGACCCGGCAGTTCCTTGTCTATAGGGAGGGTCAGCCCGGCCCACCACCCCCACCTTGAGAGACACAATAACCCAGATCTCCTGGGAGCCCTGTGGGTGCCAGCTATGGGTTCCCTGCCTGGTCTTTCCTGTCCCGTAGCGAGCCAGCCCCTCTGGCTCCTGGGTCAAGTCACACCCATCCCAAGTGTCACCACAGTCCTGTCCCAAGGCCACCTGTCTGTCCTTTTCTGAGGATGGCAGAGGCCACCAGGGTTACTGCTCAGAGAGCAAGGACATTGGCTGACAGTCTTCCGTGGAGGGTTCTGTTGTTTGTTTCAGCAATGCTACTACACATTCAAAAACAAGGACTCCTGCCAATGATGGTGACATTGGTGATGACTCTTAAGGCCTGCAGGTGCCCAGGGTCTGTAGTGGACACAAGCCACCGCCTGGCCCCTGATGTGGCTCGATGCTGGGCATACACACCAAACTGCAATCATGCAAGGAACTGTGGCTGGGGTAGGAAGGGCAATTCCTTCCCTTTATAGCAACAGTAAGAAAATAACCTGAAGACATCTCAAAGTAAAAAACAGCATCACCCTCCATAGTATCTCCCTCTTCCTCCCACCCGCCAGCCAGAGAGGAAAGGAGGAATGGGTGGGGGAGGGCTGCTCTGTTCACTGACTAGACGCTCCCACCGTCTCCATGTGCGGTGCTCCCTGGGCTGTGTTCCCTCTTCTAAGGTACCTGCTATAAGCTACTCCCTCACGTGGTGACTTCCTGAAACCCTGCCAACCTCGTGAACCACCCCAGCCTAGCAGAGCCCAACAGGGCTTGCTTCCCCCGCTGTGAACTTGAGCCTGATCTCCAGCTGGCCTTGCATCTTCAATATGCAGGTGTGACTCCCAGGGCATCCTACAGCTCAGCCTGGCACAAGCATCTCCTGCCGTGCCATCACAGCCTTCCTGGTACCCACTGCTGCCACTGCCTTGCAAGCCTCAAGAATGTGGTGAGGAGAGAGCAGCACCCTCTAGAACCAGGGTGCGGCTCCTGTGCCTGCAGAGTGCTCCCTGCCAGGGGACAGGTTCTAGTTCCGGTGGAAACTGGGACAGGCGCTGTCCTCAGCCCACACCCCGAGGTACCCGGGGGTCTCGGGCTGGGCAGATGGAAGCAGCAGGCTCTCTTCCTCCTCTTCCTCCTACCTCGACTGCATCTCCTTCTGCGCCTGGCCATGTGATGCTGGCATCAGTGGGCTGGCGAGGCATCCTCCAGCCCCAGCAGCTCTCTGACGAGTCTCTCGCCAAACTGCGCCCGGCTGTACCTTGTCACGTGGTAGGCGTCTGACATCTTGTACAGGATATAGGCATTGTTGATGGCAATGCTGATGGAAAACCAGAAGACCTGCTGCCAGGTCTTGTTGGGTTTATGAGAAATGAAATACCTGAGGACAGAGGAAGGACAAAGGCTGACACTGGGGCTCAAAGACATCTATCCATCTGGGACAAAACTACCCAAAGGCCCTCCCTATGGGTGCCAGAGGGCTGCTGGGTCAGGCAGGAGGAGGTGGGGCTCTAGTCTGGAGCCCTGTCACAATGAACGTGTGCTTAAGATAAACAGAAAGTAAAAGCAACTCCTTCCCAAGGACCAGGAGGGATGGAAAGGGTTGCTGGAGGAGGCCCTGAGAAGCAGGTGTGAGGTGTTATCTACAGGTCCCACCCCTGCTGCCCACCACTCCCAAGGCCACCCTCTGCCTGTGCAACCATGTCCTTGCTCTGGCCATACCTTCCTTAACCCCAGGCCTGGCACAGTGCTCCCTTCCTCTCAGGTGCACCTTTGCCGCTCTTGCCTACCTGCCCAGCACACCAGAGGATGCTGCTCCTCCCAGGCCACCCATTCTCTGGCTGCACACTTGTGTGTGTACCTTGACCACAAAACATCTCACTGAAACAACCAGCCTGGAGCAGGTGGCCAGAAATAGTCACAGAACAATTGCCCGTTGCCTTATAATGGTCTCATGGGATTCAATAAGTTGCCAGCACACAGGAGATGTTGAGTACAAACTTGCTTGGTGAACCTCTAAGGAGTTGGGTAGCCACCTGGCACACACAGGCTGGGCTTTCCAGAGAGAACCAGGACAAAAGGTGAGAAGTTGCAGCTGGCTTCCATCTCCTAAGCAAATGTCCAGTTGCTTTCTGAATTAGTCTAGGCCAGTACTAAGTTGCAAGGCCCAATCTTAAGGATTTAGCAATTGCACTCACGCTCAGCAGCCATTGTCTGAGTGGCTGTCCTGAGCACTATGACCTTGGCATAGATGGGCATCATGGGTGGGTGCATGTTTGCACCCACATGCCCTGTGTTCTCCACATATTCCACAATATGAAACCCTATTTGGTTATCTTCAGGGTTATTTGAAAAAACCCAGAACCCAGCACTGGAGCACACATGGCTCAGGGTGAAGCAGCTGGGCTGGCGTCCCAGCTGAGGAGGGCAGTATGGGCCAGAGGGACTGGGTCGAGGGCATAGAAGGCTCAGGCCTGAGCTGACTGCTGAGAGAGAGGACGCATGTTGGGAAACCTGAGGGAAGGGCACACTGGGGCAAAGGCAAGGAGGTCTGGGAGTAGCGAGTGCTGGGCAAGGCCTTCTGGGGCTTAGAGCGGGGAACGTGCTGAGCCTGGGAGGCCAGGAGAGGGGCTCAGGGTCTGGTTTCACAGGGTCTCTGTCCTTCCAGTTTGAAATTGGGGAAACTCAGGACCACTTGCTGAAGTGCCTTGCTGTGATGACGCAACTGTGAGATGCACTCTGTGGTCACTTACTTGCTGTATTTGTCATCATATCGGCAGATGTAGCTAAGGTGAGCAGCGAATGCCTCCACAGCCAAGGGGCAGGGGATCTCCCCACTCTTCCTCTTGATGATGACACCTGCAGGGGGAACAAAAGAGCAAGCTCCTTCCTCAACTGCTTCTTACATGTGTGGATTCCCAGAGGGGCCCACATTCATCCAGCCCGTCTGCCCTGACCATGGCAATGAGAGGAGGTGGCAGCAGTGGCACTATCAGTGGAGTAGAAAGGGAGGAGTAGAATTGAAGGACACACAACACTGGCCAGAGGGCACTTCCAAGGAGTTGAGGAAGACATGTGAGTCAGGTGCACAGGCTGCTGCTGTGCAGTCAGCATGCTCAAGAACAGGGACATCACAGGTGTTGACAGGCAGCTTGGGGCAGGGTGCTCCACCCAACTGGCTCTTGAGACATCAAATGGGGTATATTCTGGACTCAAACTCCTCCCCCTGCCCACTCACACCAGATCGCGAGTCTCCCTCCGGGCTGAGTGGGGAGAAGCGTTCTGGAAAGAGATCAGGGAGGCCTGTGGAGTCATTTCCAACTCCATCACAGCAGAAGAGTGAGCCCTCCCCTTTCATGTCTGTAGGAGCTCTGGGGCTGGAAGGCACCTCAGTATGCAGGGCAGCTTAGAGATCCTCCCCGGCTCTACTCCCAACTGGACCCCCACCCTCCTACTAAAGACAGATAGGGACAAAGGGCTGGGCTCAAGTCATAGTGAGATTCACAAATTCCACTGGCTGGGCCTGAGAAACAAATGGGAACCCATAAGCACACCCGCCTTGTATGGTTGCCCAAGCCATAGTCATAAAGCCTGGGTTCCCGGGCCGGCTCCATATGGTATCAGTACACCCTGCAGCAACAAAGACAGCCAGAGCACGTGGTCCTTCTGTTAGCAGTTAGTGTCTGGGAGCTGCTAGGGCCTACCTCCCTCTTCCATTCCCAGCCTTTCCTCATGGAACCATCACAGGTATAACACTAGCTGGTGAGCCATTTTAAAAGAGATTAGTTCACCCATGTGTGTCATCTTAGCAATAGCTAACTAGATAAAGTATAATGGGAAAGTTCCCCCAGAAGCCCACCCAGAGCTTTGTTTGGGGCCAGCTGCCTCCTTGCCCATGAAGTACGGACCAGGATATGAGGGTGGCTCAGGCCCTGTCACCTGCAGGGGCCTTGCTGGGATCTGTGACTTCTGGGGGCTGCCCACTCTGAGGGTCAGTGTGTCCAACAAGTCGGGCCCACTCTCCATAGAACCCCATGTTATCCCTGGATTTGGCAGCTGGTTTCAGAAGGCAACCAGAGAAGGGGCACCTGTGTTGTCATTGTCTCAGACCTACTTCAGTCTCTGAGCATTTCCTTTAGTTTAAAAACAAGATCACTATCCTTCCCTCATGTCAGTTTAGATTTTGAGATATTATTACAACTGGAAAAGGTAAGGTGCCTGCCCCAGCACATCTTTTGCTGAGCTTCAGACCTGCGGATGGGACCAGGAAGTCAGGTGCTACTTATCATCTCTGTGGCCCATAACAGACATAGCAAGAACACCATGCATGGTGTCCATCTGTTCACTGGTGCACGCTGCGTGCCTGTGACCCCAGGAGAGCTTGCCCATGGCTGAAGGACTGCCTGCTTCATGACTCTCTTAGAATTTACAGATCTTTAAGGTCATCGTTCCACGTGTCTTCACCTTCCAGGAGCAGTGTTCTCTGCACCCTCCTCTGGGCTCCTGTTAGTGACATCATTCTTCAGGCTTGAATGAATGAGGCAAGACCTGGCTCCCACTCACATGCTTTCGGCCTTCCCATGAGGCTGAGTGAATCCAGATCTTCAACGGGCAAAGGTGCCAGTGGGAGATGACAGACTCAATACAGCTTTCAGGAACAAAATTCCCAGGGTTGGACTTTCCGTGGTGTGTCCATTGACATGGTACAGTATTTAAGTTTTTTAAAAAGAGTAATGGGGACAGGTAAAAGGAGACAGAACAGGACAAAAGACTGAGAGGCAATCTTTAGAATATATGGCCTATCACATGGGTGCCATTTAAAATAATTAGGAAAAGATGAAGCATTTGGTACATGGTTCAGGTGCAGAGGTGGGACTGCTGGTCAACCAACTCTTGCCACCAACCACTGTAAAACAGCAGAGGCCATTTGAAGGCAGGCATCGAGATACCTCAGAAGTACACCATAGTAAGAACTCAAGGCTGTTGTGTATGGCCATGCTACCCTGAACACACCTAATCTCAGAAGCTAAGCAGGGTTGGGCCTGGTTCCTGGTTAGTACTTGGATGGGAGAGCTCAAGGCTGCACTACTTAACAACTGCTGAGTTTGTGTTCATAGGGTCTTGGGGACAGAGGAGTCTATAAAGACCTGGGTGTAGAGAATATAGCCAACAGAATGACCTACATAGAGAGGGAAGGTTTTTTATGTTGAAATAACTTAAGCATAAATCATAACCTAAGGAAAAGAAATGCAGAGAGAAATCTGCTACAGGCAGAATGAGCTCAAATTAAGAAGAAAATTCACAAATGCTTTAAAAGAATCACTGAAAAGAACAGCAAGAAACCGTTTGAAATGAATCAATGAACACGTATAGACATGCCCAACCTTATCAGTGGTGACAACACTGCCACCAGTCAGATCGACAGCTTCAAAGATGAACAGGAACAGAACTGACAAAGCTGGAGGAACCTCAGATGGGCACAGAAGTGCAGCTCTGGGGCACACCCAGCACCCCAAAGCTGGGCAGAGTTCTTCCTCCCAAGATCTAGCACGTCCTCTAGGAGGATCTGGAGGAAATAGTTACATCCAAAGATCAATGTAATAAGACATTCACATGGTTAGAAATAACAGGGGGTCATTCACATGTTAATAGGGCAGCAGGTAAAGGAATTAGAGTAGGGCTGAAAGGATGAAATATGTTTTTTCTTCTTCTTAGACAAGTTTTTTTTTTGAACAACACTAAAGAGAAAACTATTTCTCTTTGTTAAGCAGAGAAGAAAGGAAATCTAAAAATGCGACCTAGAAAAAGGATTTCCAGTGGGAAGGAGCAGCTGGCCCCAGCCGCAGCTGGCCACCTGAGACCTGCACCTGTCTCGTCTCATGTGAGCTGCACCTGTGTGCACCTGCCACTTTCTAGAGACACCAGGGGAGGGGACAAGAAGGAGCAAGTCTCTAGGTATGCTGGGGTCATGGCAAGGATTTGAGGCTTTAGATGTAAGACACAGTATTTTGAAACTGGGAATTGTAACCAAATTAAACAGAAACACTACATTCATTAGATTTTTTTTTTTTTAAACCTGAGAGACCAAAACAGAAAAAAAAAAATCTCCATCTACTGGAATTGGGGCCACAGCTAGGACTCAACCCCAAGCCCTGTGGTATGGGATACTGGCATCCCAACCCGGGTCCTAACCATTAGGTCAAATGCCTGCCTCAAGTTCATGGATTTAAAAGTCAAATCTACCAGCTGTTTTTTTTTTCCCTACCAATGTCCTTACTAGCTCCCCTGCTGTCTGATTTGAAGCTCCTAATCTTTAAGCTTGGGTTGCAAGATTTTCCAGGTTGTTGCCTTAAATCTCATTTTCACACTCACTTCAGACAACACAGTGTGCTGTTCTGGGATCCCTCTTCAGCAACCATTGTTGAAAACAACTTGATGGGAAACAGTTCCTGCCATCTTCTCCCAAATATGCTCCCTGGAAATGCCCCCTGCCCCATACCAAGGCCCTCAGCACTGCAGTCTAGATCAATCCAAACTCCGCCCTTCAGCTTACAAGATAAATTCCAAACCTTTCCAAAAACGGCCATGGTATTCCTTAGTGCCTGCTTCCTATAGCCCTGACACAGGGCAATGCTGACACCTGCTTGAGCATCCTGATTATGACTACTACAGAAATGTAACTCAGCATATATGTAGGGATGATGGATGGGAGTAAATATACAACATACGTTAAGTATGCATGCATATATCACAAAATAGGAGCAGATATATCATACACACACAACACATGAACACAGTACCCCCTACAACATACACACACATACATGCACACACATCACACGTGGAAGGATGGTACACACAGAAGCTGTACAAACTTACACACATGCACACACACATGCTCCTTGCAGCATTCCTTCAGAAGTGAAAACAATAAAGTGTCCTCATGTAAAAGAATACTAGAGAATGTTCTTGTGTGTGGTGCCACTGTAAATCTTTCATAGCTCCCTTCTCTCAATTTTCTCCTCTTCCACGTAATAGTGTTTTTACTGGAGGTTACTTTAAATACAGACTCTAAGTAATACTCTTGATAATAAATGAATTTTATTTATTTTATTAAACCCCAGAGAAAATTCATGAAGAAATTAACAAATACCTGGCAAGCCAGCCAATACAGGTACTTTGTAGCCAACATTGAAAGATAAGAAAGGATCCATCTCGGAGCCTGGGGTTCAACCATAACTGATTACTACACCCCATGTGCAACCAGGGGGTGAGGGTGGGGTCAGAGAGGCTGCTTAGGTCGCCTGTCAGTCCATCAGCCCGACTTCACTCAAAGCTCAGAAAGCTCTTCCTCACCTGCCATCCCTGGACAGACACGGGTGGCAGCCATGACCAATGTGACCCAGCAACCCAGCACAGCTGGGGTGCACACCCTCCTCTGCACCATGCAGCCTGGGTCTGCCCACCAAGTCCCCTGGGACAGCCCCAGTGCTCACCTTGCTGCATGGGGGAGTAGGCATTGGTCAGGAAGCGAAAGTGCCCTTTGTTATACCAGCAGATTAGGGACATGTTGCCCTTCATCTTGATTTGGTACTGGCCCCGGGCAGGAGGAATGGCCGGGTTGGTCAGCATAGACGGCGGGAGGCCAGTGCAGTCACTCTTCCTGGAGCTGAGCAGGCCACAGCAATAGATCCCTGGTGGAGAAGAAGGCTGCAGAATCACACACATGCCATTGTCAGAGTAGTAGGTAGCTCCAAGTCCTGGGCAGGCCCAAGGTAAAAACAGAGCTCCTGAGAACCTTCAGGAGGCCCTTTAGAGCCACAGCTCATGGCTTTGGACCCCTGCACTGTCTCCCCTGGAACTTCACATGAATATATGTTAAAATTGCATGAAAGGCAATAGTGCAGCAATGGAACCACAGGAATGATGGAGCTTTTGCCACTAGAAGGCTCATCAGGTATACAACACATGCACCCATCACCTCATCTAAGGCCAGATATCATAAGCATGCAGAAGTAGAAGAACTGAGGGTAGATGAAGGCAAAACTCCTAAGGCTCATGGACAGACATGAAGTTCAGGTCCACTTGACAGGCCAGCCTGGCTGGAATTCCATGATCCTGAGGCCTGGTAGGTTATGGACAGAGCTGTACCACTCCAGGAAGCCATGTGAAACATGGGTCCTATCTCCTTGGGGAGCTCAATTACAGACAAAGAACACAGACTCAACCTCAACTGTGTGTCCTCCAGTGAGTGGTAGGGATTATGTCCTCTCAGACCCAGGGCCATCTCCCTAGAAGTGGCTGGGGTGGGTAGCAGAGAGCAGCATCAACAAACTTCTGCTGAGGCCTTACTATATTCCTCCCTGGACTCCAGGCCTCTGCGGGGCTTCCCCTTCAGGGTCCTGCTGTGTCCCAGACACCCCTCCTTGGGCTGAACCCTTGGAGAGGACAATGGTGACCTCTCCTCTCAGCTCCTCTCAGCTCCCTCCTGAGGCCCTAGAATGTATTCTGTATCTCATGTGCATCAGGGTTCATCATCTCCACCCTGCATTGGAAGAAGGACAATTTGATGAATTCTCTCTTTCAAGTTCCTCTCCTGGCTGCTGCCCACAGCCCTCGCCAGCAACAGGTGCAGGTGCAGGTACAGAGGAAGTAATGCTGAGAGGTATGCGTGAGGAGGCTCCCTGCTGCCTACAGCTCCACTCAGTTGGCTGGACCCAACCAAGCTACCCTAATCTCAAGATTTAAGGAGAAGCAACTATTTTTAAAAACAAGTGTGGGGAAGATCACAAAAATAGGCTGATGTGCTCACCACTCATCTGCAGCTCCATGTACATGAGCAGCCAACCAGCATCTGTGTTTTCTTTTTTAACTTTTTTTTAAAAAAAAAAAACTGAAAGAACTAGAGCTAGAGAGTGAAAGCAGGAGGCAGAGAGAGAGAGAGAGAGAGAGAGAGACTGAGATCTTGCATCCACTGGTTCACTCCCCAAGGCTGGGTCAGACTGAAACCAGGAGCCAGGAGCTTCTGGGTCGCCCACATTGGCCATTTTCCACTGCTTCCCCAGGTGCATTAGCAAGGAGCTAGATTGAAAACACAGGGGCTAGCATGGTGGTATATCAGCCTAATTCTCCACTTGTGTTGCCAGCATTCCATATGGGTGCTGGCTTGTGTCCCATCTGCTCCACTTCCAATCCAGCTCCCTGCTTATGACCTGGGAAAGCAGTAAAGGATAGTTTCAAGTCCTTTGGCTTCTGTACTCATGTGAGAGACCCGAAAGAAACTCGTGGCTCCCAGCTTTGGACCACTTTAATTCTGGTCACTGTAGCCATTTGGGAGTTAACCAGAGGATAGAAGATATTTCTCTCTCTCTCTCTCTCTCTCTAACTCATTCAAATAAATAAATAAATAAATAAATAAATAAACAAATAAATAAATAAATCTTGGGAAAAAACAAAGTGGAGCAGGCAGGACTAGAACCAGTGGCCATATGAGAAACTAGCATCACAGGTGGCAACTTTACTTGCTGCACCACAGCACTGGCCCCAGCATCTGCATCTTCACAGAGTGAAGGAGGAGTGGCAAGTACTACCCTTGTTTCCATGAATCTATCCTTATAGTGGAACATCTTTTGTAGCTCTTTTACAAGGTAGTCAGATTGTGCCCTGGCAGGGACAACTAGTTCAGCTGTCTTTCTTGCTAGACTCACACATTTTGTGTGAGAGATACTAATCCAGAGTAATACAATGAAGTCCTAGGGGTGGCAGAGCCACCAGTGACCATCAGTGACATGGGCACAATGGAGGACCACCGCCCTGTCACTTTGGAGGAAGCTCGTGCCAACACCTGTGTGAGGAGCTCTATAGTTGTAACTGCTTCTAAAAACAGCCAGTGAGCTCTTGTTCATGCATCACCCTGCCTTCTCTTGAGTAAGCCAAATTCCACATCTAATCATTTCCATCAAGACACAAGAACCTCTTCTCATTCTCCTAAGCCCTGGAGCCAGGAGGCACCCATTTTCAGAATGACAGGTGCAGCCCTGGCAGCCTGGGACCATCCGGGGACCATCCTGGGACCTGGCCACTGTCCTTCCAGCCTTGCTCTGCCTGGACTGAGCCAACCTGACACACATGCTCCGAGCCAGCCTTGAGCACACTGCTTGACCCCCAGTGCAGGTAGACAGAGCAACATGGGGAGCAGGCTCCATAACATGCATGAACACCAGCAGCAGGTGCATCACTGCCCATGCTGTACCCACACTGGGACTTGCTCTGGCTAGTACGTAAGGATGGCAGCCTGTGCACGTGCCATGTGCTCAGCCTGTGTATGCATATGTGCTCTAACAGGAGAACCTGTCTTCTGGTGCATCAGGACCAACTTTTCTTTCTTTCCATTCTTCACAAAGTCTGATCTCTGCATGCTTCTTTTTCCCAGTGGGGCTTGGCAATGATGATAAGCCCAGGCCAGCAAGCTGCACAGACTCCGGGACTGCTTCTTTACGGTGTCTGCAGAGCTCCCAGGGTGGCAGCTGCTTTAAGGCCAGATGTCTGATCTGCGGTTCTGGAGGCTGATGTAGCCAACCAGGTGCTTGCTGCACTTAAGTCAAACCCTCAAACCAGGCACCTCCTGCCACAGTGTTCGCTGGCTTTGTTTCCTCTTTCTGCAGAGCCACAGAAGGCTTGGCCAGTCTTGGCAAAGTATGAGTCAAGTACCCAGGGAATCCCAGGCCCCTCGGAGGCCCACTGTGTTATTCTCATCTTCCCATAACTCTCATCCATCATCAGGGAAGGGGCTGAAGTGAGGACTTTCTATTGCCTTTGTAGGAGAATAGCCTGGCAAGTGCCTTCAGGGTCCACAAAATAGCCTGAAAACAGCCACCATGCCCTCAGACCATGAGCCCATAAACTCAGACACGGTCCCTATGACTGGCCGCCCAAGACCTGCACCAGCCACTCCCCACCCAGGCCCGTCACTCCACCACATCCCCATGAAGGTGGAGGTCACACTTGTCCTGGATCCATGCTTGACCAACCTTGCTTCTCAAACTCCTCAAACAGGGTCAGGCTGGTGATACTGGGCCCCGTGAAGATGATGTAGTTCTTGCCAGCTGCATTCCGGCACAGGCTCCGGGCCACCATGCTGTGGAGCTGGGGTTTGTTCTTCAGGGCGTCCAGGGCATCAGGGCCCCCACCCTCCTTCAGGTGGACGTAAATCTGTGACAGAAGCACATGACATTCAGGATGGGAGTCCAAAGACTTGGACAGCAGGGGTCTTCCTTGTGGGAGTACCACCTCCTTCAGCCCCTCTAGGCCCACAGGAGCTTCAGTATGGAAGAGTCAAGGTAGAAAAGGATGGAAGCAGTAAGAGGTAACGAACTTGGCAGCTCAGAGCCACACAAATACATGCTCCAGTTCTGAAGTAAGACAGATGTAAGTTTTCCACCAATAACAGTGAAGGCAACCTTACTGGTTAGGGATGTGTTCACCTGCGCATATTCTGTTCAGATACAGCTTTCTAATGCACAAAGCACAATCGTAAAGATCACATTCACTCTCCATGGTAACACTCATGAAGTGCCAGTTCTAATCCTGGTGGCCCTGCACTCACACAGGAGACCTGGAAGAGCTCCTGGCTCCTAGCTTTGGATTGGCGCAGTACTGGCCATTGCACTAACTTGGGTAGTGTGAATCATCGGATGGGAGATCTTTCTCTCTCCTTTTCTCTGTATATCTGACTTTGCAATAAAAATAAATAAATCTTAAAAAAAAAAAAAAAAGAAACTCTCTTTTGAGCCCAGGATCAGCAGAGAAGATGTGTAGGTCTGAGTAATCTAAAAAACATTTGGAAGGCAGTGTTACAGAGAGAAACAGCAAAAGGGAAAGAGGGATCTACCACCCGCTTGTTCACCCATCAATAGCCATAAATCCAGGACAATATAAACACAGGAACCTAAAATTCTACCCAAATCTTCCATATGGGTACAGAGGCCCAAGAATTTTGGCCATCTTCTGGCACTTTCTGAGGTGTTTCAGCAGGTAGGTGAATTGAAAGTGGAGCAACCAGGACTTGAATCTGTGCCCTTATGGGACAACAGCATTGCAGGTAGCAGCTGTTGCAGGCAGTGTTTAAATCCTGTGTGCAAGTTGCTAGCATTAACATCATCCAAGAGGCAGACAGGGGAAGGTGAATGGATACCAGAAGAGGAATGCCCACAGTTAGCTTGGACTGGGCCAGACTGAAGCCCACAGCCTGAATCTCAGTCCTGGTCTCCCACGTGGGTAGCAGTGACCTAAGTACTTGAGCCACCGTCCTGCTGCCTCCCAGGTTGCACATGAGCAGGAGGCTGATACCTGGAGTGGAGCTGGAACCTCACCAGGGCTACTGTGCTAGGGAATGTCCCACACAGCATCTCAACCCACTGTGCCAAACACCCTCCCAGGATTTGAATGTAAGCAGCCCTGCAGGACAGTCTGCACATGTGTAAGTGGGAGATTGGCCCACCAATCAGAGCTGGTACATGTTTTTAAGGAATTGCTGGAAGAAGGATCTAGAATTGTGATTCGAGGACAGATGGGGATTCTCCCTGCTTCATGGAGGGGCCGGAAGTTTCGGCACCGCATGGCTCAGGTGCGGCAGCTCTCTGCCCTTTGTCTCTGCTTTCCTCCTGCTCCTTGAAGTGAGCTGCTGCTTCCTTCTCATTCTCAGAAATGAATGATCGCTTCATTTTCAGGATGATGCTTGCTTTAATCTCAACCCCTCACTTCCGTCCTGCTGCGGACTTCCCTATATTCTTGCAGTTAAATCACACAGATTTTTAAAACTACTTTCATCTGATTTTTTTTTTTTTGATGGTTCAACTGAGGATTTCTTATTTTTACAGTATTCAAAAACTCCACGAGATATTTAATGCTTTATAGCCATAAAGCAGGTTTGTATTAGATGATCTTATCCACTTTCATCTGAGTTTTTAAAAATCTATTTATTTGGAAGAGTGACAGAGAGGAAGAGGCAGACACAGAGACAGAGACCTTCCACCCAGTGGTCCACTCCTCAGCAGCAGCCTGGCATGGGTGAAGCAGCAGCCAGAGTTGGGCTCTCTATCCTGGTCTCCCAGGCGGGTGGCAAAAGCCCCAGTTCTTGAGTCACCCTCTGTTGTACATTAGCAGGAAGCAGAATTGGAAGCAGAACAGCTGGGGCTCGAGCTGGGACTCTCACAGAAGATGGTGGTATTGCCAGCAGCCACTGAACCCACTGCGCCATGACACTGACCCCGCACCTCCACGCCACTTCCATCTGATTGTAAGATTTCCTTTCAAATGAAATCAAGAGCATTAAACTGATATTGAAGATTTATTAGCATTCTCGGCATCACTGCTGTTTCACTGCTTTGTGTCCAGGTGATAGCCTGCCTGCTTCTCATGCAGATGTCCCTCCAGGAGACACTCAAATGAAAGGCACAGTGAGAGCGGTAGGCTGCACTGAGTTTCCATAGCTTTTCCTCTGGCCACCAAGAAATTCCAGGTCACTCTGGCATCTCTGCTTTTCACTTACATCTGGATCTAGAATCTTCTAAGTGGAGCTAATTTTCATTCAGCCCTACTTCCCGCTGATGCAGTCTGACCAGTCCTGAGCTAGAGCCTTAGCAGGATGGGACTTCAAGGAAAAGCATACATTGGTCTTTCCTAGAGGACACCTGCGTGTGCGCGCGCACACACACACAGATGGCCAATATCCACAGTGAGGACAGGCACCTCCTGGACTCAGGAAGGATGCAGTTGCCAGCTGTGTAGATGCCCTCAGGGGCCAGGAGGCCACGGATGCCAGGACACACTCCTGAGAGACAGGCTAACTTCCCCAGCTGGCTATTGAAGGTCTGGGGACTGGAAGGGAAGGGAGAAACCTGGGTGAGAGAGAGAGGGCATCCTAGAAAAGCCCAAAGCCTTGAGGAATGGCCTTTGGGAAGATGGGGATCATCTCTCACTGCCCAAGGCATGAGTAATACCTCCAGCTAACACTGCCAGGGCATGAGCCTTCATTGGGGAGGGACAATGTGCAGGGGATAGTGCTTGGCATGGCTGTGGCCTCTCCAAGGCCCTGCTGTCCTGCTGCTCTAGTAAGGTGTGGCAGCAGCCTGGCCAAGGCCTCTGTTGGTGCACCCAGGTAGAGTCAAAAGGAATAAGCCAGCAAGCAAGTTCTGTCAGCAATGGAGCTGCAGGTCCCTGAACAGCAGGTCTTGACGCCGCCTGGGCTGTCCTGGGGCTCACCTGGATGATAAAGCCCGTGGAAGAGCACTGCCGGACCCAGAGGCTGAATTTCCGCTTTTTCCTCTTCCGCAGCTCCCGCTCTGTGCATGTGGCTATGAACACAGGGTCCTCATCGATCAGGGGTTCATGTAGCACCTGGAAGGAAGGAAAAAGGCAAAGGTTCTCACAGAAGGCAGCGCTAGTTCAGGGGTTCGAAGCCAGCTTCGGCCTGTGACCATGTGTAACAGAGACTAAGGAACTCGACGCCTCTGATTCTGACTCTTCACACCCACGAAGGGTAACATCTATTTCGGCAGCAATTTCGGGTGAGAAGTGTGTGCAAAGCAGGTGACAGCCAGGACAGACGGCAGCTGCTCCGTGCCTGCAAACCACTCCTGTGGCTGCTTGCTGTTGGCCAGCCTCCAGGCCCCACTCTTACCTGGGTCCTTGACCCCTGGCTGAACACACCTGTTGGTGGGTACCCACTTCCTGTCACGGAAGCTTGCTTCCACTGGCAGATAGTGCCAATGGCTCAGATATTCTTTCTCTTGCTCCACCAACAACTACACCCCTTGGGTTTACATCTATGATCTGATTTCTGTTCCCTGAGAAGCAAAAATCAAGCACAATGTTTCTTCAGCGGATTTTTAAACAGCTGTCATGTCAGTCACAACTCTTCTTGGCAGCTGGGAATCCTCACTGGGACTGACCTTGTGGTGTAGCGCAGTAAGCCTCTGCCTGTGGCATCAGCAGCCCATGTGTGTACCGGTTCATGTCCCAGTTGCTACTCCAGTTCCAGTTCAACTGTCTGAGAATGGCATGGGAACACAATGGAGGATAACCCAGGGATCTCCCCTGCACCCATGTGGAGGTCAGGAAGAAGCTCCTAGCTCCTGGCTTCAAATCATCCCAGCTCCAGCCACTGTGACCATTTGAGGGAGAAAACTAGCAGATGGAAGATCTGTCTCTTCCCCTCTCTGTAATTCTGCTTTGCAAAAATAAATATGTATTTTAAAAATACCATCCTTAGTGCCCCCAGATGCCCAGGGAGCGACTTGGCTTTTGGCTCTCCTCCCAGTGTGTGTCCTTGCTGACAGTGGACCCCCCCAATGCAAACTTCAAACTTATGTCACCCTAGGTTCAACTTTTAATGATGTGGTCATATGACTTTTTCAACAAGAAGACAATAAAGTAAAAAGAAATGGCATAACACAAACAGGCTCCAAGGGAGTGGTTGATATATTATTCTTCAAGATAAAGTGCATTGAGGAGTGTTTCAGATGAAGTTTAAGACAGTGCCATCCTTCCCTCCCAATCCTATTTCAAGCTTCATCGTAAAGAGCGGACACTGTGGCATGATGGGTAAAGCTTCCACTTGCAGTGGCAGCATACTATATGGACACTGGTTGAAGTCCCAGCTGCTCCACTTCTAGTCCCTTGATAAGGTACCTGAGAAAGAAGCAGAAGATGGCCTAAATCCTCAGGCCCCTGCACCCACTCAGGAGACCTGGAAGAAGCTCCCTGCTTCTAACCTTGGCCTTACCTAGTCCCAGCCCCGGGCAGCCATCTAGGGAATGAACCAGCAGATGGAAGACCTCTCTTTCTCTTTGTAACTGTCTTTCAAATAAAATAAATCTTTAAAAATAAACTCGAGTATACACTGGCAACGATCAGATTGCACAAATGCCACATAATGCGCTGGATCAGTGACTAGCAAATCACACCGAATCAGACTCATTGCCTGTGCTTCCAAATAGAGCTTTATTGAGACTTTCTGCAAGAAGCAGTGACCTTTACGGTCACAACGGCAGAACAGACAAGACAAAACAGAGAGCATGACCCACACAAAGTTTATAACACTTCCGGTTAGGGCTGAGTGTTTGGCCTCATGTTGGGACATGTGTGTTCCACATCTCAGTGCCTGGGGTTGACACCCAGCTCTGACTCTGCATTCTACCTTCCTGCTGGTGTGGACACTGGGAGGCAGAAGTGACGACTAAAGTAATTGGGTTCCCAGTCACCGATGTGAAAGACCTGGATTACATTCCAGCTCCTGGCTTCACACTGCCCTTCCCTTGCCCTCTGCTGCAGGCACCTGGGAAGTGACCAGTGGATGACAGCTACATCTGAGGTAAGCATTTTGGGGCTGTAGCTAAGACAGTGCTTGGGGCTGTTGCCTTCCATCAGAGGGCCTGGCTTGAGTCCAGCTACTCTGCTTCTAATCCAGCTTCCTGCTAATGTGCAACCTGGAGAGCAGCCAGCGATGACTCAAGTACCTGTGCCTGAGCCACATGGGACTCCCAGATTGAGTGCTGGGCTTATGGCTTCAGTCTGGCCCAGGCCCAGATATTGTAGACATTTGTAGGGTGAACTAGCATGTGGAAGATTCTCTCTATCTGCCTTTAAAATAAAATGAAAACAAAATTTTTAAAAATGGATTTTCATTACATGGTCATTTACAGAAATAGTCCGAACACACAAGGCACCTACAGGTCTTGCTAAAACACCCGCTTTGTTTCAGTAGAGCGCAATCATGCATTTCCAGCAAATTCCCCCGTGATGCCAGAAAGCGGGGGTGATACCACGTGGGGACTGGACAGGATCTTTCATTCTTCTATTGATGAAGCCTTGTTTTCCTTGTTTAAAAATAACAGCCTTGTATTGTTCATGGTTTAGCTTGCATATAGTTTTTTAAATTGTGAGGCACTTGGGGACACTATGCTTGGCTTCCCCTGTCGCAGGCTCACGAAGGAGAAGGCAGGAGTGGCTGCCCTGGCTGCTTCCCTGAGCCTTCCTGTACTTGCTGGCCCTCTGCAGCTCATAAAACATTCAAGGTCCAATTTGGACCCATTCTAGCAAAATGCACAAAATCCATGTACAGTGGGATAGTGGGGACGGAGAGAAAGTAGGCTCCCAGAAGCCCTTGCCCTGCCTGTCCCTCCCTGACCGATACACCCATTCCTTCTCCCTTCTCAGGCCAGGGACAACACAGCAGCCCCCTCTCCTGCTCCTCTTCAGACTAAAAGTACCTGTACTCTCCTTGCATTGAATGTATCCTCAGTGGCAAATTCATATTTAATCACCTCAAAGTAAAAGGGTCAGCAAGATTATTCTGACCCTTTATGATTTTGCCCTCTCCTCCTATCATCAATAAATGAATTATGAAAACATCATTTACTAAATGTGGCATAGTGTGGTATGCTCCCCAGAGCTCCGAAGGCTGTGCCTGCCAGGAAGGCCATGCCTTCCTCCTCCTCCAAGCTGCCGATTCGTAAGCATTCCTCTGCTTTCCAGCTGCACCTCAGGGCCCCCTTCTGTCGGAGGAGCTCAGGAGGCAGGTTAAGGCAGGAGCAGGCCCCAACATCCACATCATTTATCTGCAGCACCTCTCTTGAAGAATCCTGCTTGAATGAATCCAACTCCACCTTCAAGAAAATGCAGAGTCTGCTGTTTTGTGTCTGTGAGCAAGCACACTCCTGACACTTCGGTTACCATCAGCTTCTGGGAGTCCTCGGTAGACCCTAAAACTAAACTTGCAGCAATTGGCCAGGTTTGTGGGAGTGAATGGTCTTTCATGTGGTGGTGCACTGAGCCCAAGGGGCATATGAGGGAACAGGGTGCAAAGCAGTTCCAGGCTCCTGTGCCCCTGAGCAGAGAGCAGCAAGCAGAAATGATGGCCTTCAAGGAAACTGTGAGGCACAGGGATAGCTGACGGCAACTCACAACCAGGCCCCTGCTTCTCCTGGGGTGGGATGCGCCAGAGCCCAGGGAGGGCTTCTCACAGACAGGACAGGCTGGGAAATCAGAAATCTGCAGAATTTCTGGCCTCTCCACTCAGGGATCAGCATGGGTAACCCCTTTCTTCTCTAAGAGGCAGGTATATCTCTGCGAAGAATATAGGGTGGAGATAAGCTGCACATGGCAGCTGTGAAAGAACAAGAAAGGCTAAGGTGTACAAGGTGCACCTGGGCTGCCACCCTGTCGGAGGATCTATCAGAAGCTGCTCCAGGGAGCACGGGGAATCACAGCTCAGTGAGGAGGTACCATACTCTAGTGAGGGTTTCACCTCCTTGTATTAAACTTGTTCCCCATGCGCTAACACAGAGCTGGGCCCACAGGCCTCTGGGACAGCACTCACACCTGGCTTTGCCTTGCTTCCTGCTCTAAGCTGAAGGATGGGGTGCAGTGGGTGTCCAGCTCTGGCTGCACTGGTCCCCTGTGCTCTCCACTTCCCCTCACCCCTCATCACATCCATAGGCATCATCCCTGCCTCTAATGCTCTTCCACGGCCTGCGGGGATCCTGGCCAACAGGGCACCACTAGAAAACCAAAACACATCAAGGTAAAGGAAGTCAGTATAAAGAGAAAACAAAACAAAACAATTGTGTTATTTAAGAGTGCTTCTCCCAACAGAGCCTCATATCAGGCCCCATTTCTCTGTCTTAGCAGTAAAAAGTTGTGAGTTGTAGAAGAAAACCATAACTCTACAGGTTCTCTGTGTTCCTGGGGCCTTCTCAGCACTGTCTAGCTAAGCTGCACCCCTGGGGAAGCCGGAGCTGCTTCCAGCAACACCTACCCACTCACAGAGCTGCAGCTGAGCTATGCCACCGTGCCTAGCTCAGAAACGCTGTTGGGCCTTCCCTTGAAGCACCCGAGGGACAAGTCTGTGAGCTGCAGATTCCCAGGGGACATTGCAGTATGCCAAAGAGGCAAAGAAATCATTTGACACTTCAGTTTTAGAGTGCAGAGACAGCACGGGGCTGGCACACAGTAGGCACACAACAGGTGGGAAGTATAAACGTGGATCAGGCCCATCTGGCTGGAGCTAAATGGATCCGCTGCAGCCCTATCTTTGGGCTGGTATCTGTCAACCATCCAAGGAGCTGGGCCCATCTTTCCTTTTTCTCTTCCTCCCTCTGTCTCCATTCCGTTCTTTAAAAAAAAAAAAATCTAGGGACAGGGAGAAATAGACAAGAGAACCTCTCACTTGCTTACTCCCTAAGTTCCTATAAATTGCCAGGATTGGGCTTGGCTAAAACCAGGAGTCAGAAGCTCACACTAGTCCTCTCACATGGATGACAGGGACCCAAGTACTTGTACCATCTCGCCTGCTGTCTCCGAGGGTCTGCAATGGTGGGAAGCTCAAATGGGGGGACAGAGCTAAGGACTGAACCCCAATACCGTGACACTGGACATAGGTGTCTCAGTCATCAGGGTAAGATGCCCATGTGTGGCTGAGATGTTCCTGACAGACACCTGAGCACAGCGCGCTCCCAGTCTCCTGACTGACTCCAGGACAATCAGATTGTGGTTTTTGCTCCCTTGGCCACAGCCACATATTCTGATTGGATTCCCTCTCTCCCTCCCTTCTCTCTGCCTTTCTTTTGTAAAGATTTTCACCTATTCATTTTGAAACTAAGAGCTACAGGGAAAGAGAGAGAAACAGAAAGATTCCCCATCCTCTGGTTCATTCCCCCAGATGTCCACAACAGCCAGAGCTTGGCCAGGTCAAAGCCAGAAGTTTCTTCTGGGTCTTTCACATGGATGCAAGGGACAAAGCACTTGGGCTATCCTCTGCTGTTTGTTCCTGGCAGTTAGCAGAGAGCTGGATTGGAAGTGGAGCAGTGACCAAATGGCACACTGATGTTGCAGGCTGCTGTTTATCCCATTGTGGCACCACACCAGCCCTGACTGGGTTCATTTTGAATTCATCAAGTCTTCAACAAAACAGCAAGAACCTTCTCTGGTCTTCAGCCACACAGGAAGAAGGCACAATACTGAGAGTTAGGAATAGGTTCCAGAAGAACGTCAACATGAGTTAGAGGCTTATTCAGAGGATCTTCACAGAAAAAGCACAAGAAGAACAGACAGGTGGATGGGACTCTAAAAATAAACATGAGGGAACTGAACTTCCTTCTCCATGTACAATAAATCAAAGGGAGCTGGTTCACGTGACCCAAAGTCTTCCTGGATTTGCCTAAACAAATCTCTAGAAAGTAGCCACTTGCTTGGTTCACTAGAAAGCTACTCAGGGAATTCCACAGTGCTGTGGATAGGTGCAACAGGCACAGGCAGACTCCCAGGGGAGGCAGACAGGGGCACAGGAGCCACAAGATCTGCTGCCTTTTGGAATGAGTGAAGAGACTGTGGCAAGCACAGGGAGCTAGGACAGAGAGGTCCAGACTGCTCAAGCTACACTCAGAGGATCACAGTCCTGCCCCAGAATCCCCAGAACATAAAAAACAAAGATGAAATTCCAGGCTCACTACCTGACACCTATAAGCGCTTTGAGCCCCTTTTCATAGGTTCCCTATAATTAGGAATGTAAGTATCATCAGAGGAGGACAAAGACAGGGCAGGATACAGGAGGGAAATTTCATCTTGGAGTAAAAGGCCCCCTTGTGACTCACCTCCGAGCAGAAGCCATTATTACTACTCCCTTCTCATAGACTATGTGGATTAGCAGAAGGAAATGGAAGGGTCTCAGGTGGCACCTAGAAGGGAACTCCGTGGCTGGGCAAGGCAGGGAGGACCAGCCAAGGTGAGAGGCCCTTGTTCTCCCACCAGCCTCACCTGCGTTTGAGAAGGTCTGAAGGCGGCGTCAAAGCTGTTCTCCAAGGAGTCAAGGAAGGGCTGAACCTTGTAGAGGCCATGCGTGGTCTGGCTGGAGCGGAAGGCCACGACGTGGAAGTACTTGAGGATCTTCTCAAAGCGGGCCTGACTCATGACCAGGGCGAGGCTCCGGTTGCTGTAGAAGCCGCCGCTCCAGATGCTGAGCACGGACTCGCAGTGGGAGATGCTGGTGGAGATCATGTAGCCCAGGAATGCCTTCATCTCTGTCAGTGACACCTCGGCCCAGGCCCCATCGCTCCCGAACCGCTCCTGGAACTTCTTGGCATACATGTTCGTCTGCACCACCATGTTCTTGAGGACATTGTCTGGAACAAAGAGCTGGAAGAAGTCCATGGCACTGGCGCTGGAGGGCATCTTCCGGGTTGGACCTGGAACCCAAAGGCAGGATGAGTGTTTATGACAACCATTCCCAGGGCCCTGGCTCAGCATGTAAGCGGTTGCTTCGTGCTCCAGCTCCCTGGGAAGCCAACCTCTTCATTCCTCAAGCAGGGGCCTTCAATGCTGCAACCCAGAAGTTGCCCTGGGCTTGACTGTACACTTTTCCTGGCCTTCATTATCTTGTAAGTTTTGTAAACAAAACACTTTTACCACTTAGGGCCTGAAAAAAATCCATCCAGAAAAGACAGCAATTTTTATGATGCATTCCCCACAGGGAGACTCCAAATTTGTTAGTGAGTGAATATGAAAGAGCTTGGTTAATTTCAGGCATGTCAGAAAAACCTCACAGATGGTGACAAACACAGTCCCTTTGAATACACCCACCGAGAGATGTTCCTCAATCTAGGATGGGGTCACATTCCTGAGAAGCCCAATGTTACACCAACATGTTGTTAAGCAGCAAATGCATTTAAACATCCAACCTGCTAACACCCCAGCTTAGACACGCAACACACCATCAAACAACAGTGGCTTAATCTTGTGTTCATGCCATGAAGAAAAGATCTCGCCAGACTCACTAGCTCAGGAAAAGATCAGATCTCAGACTTTGAAGTATGGTTTGTACCAAATGTACATTATTATCATGCCAGCTTAACTTGGGGATGGGTATGTTCTTTTTAAAGAGCTGTGGCTTCCCATTTCATGTGGTTACCTAAAGGGGCCAACAGCATGTAGGTATTTGGGGATAACAGGCTTTGCTCCCACTGTACTCAGATCGCAATTCCTTGTTAAAGCATCCTTCTAAATTTTAATTATTGCTCCTCTTAACCTTCCTTTACTTCTGACATGATCTCTGAAAAACATGCTTTCTCTAGAAAAACTGTCCAGAGAATGCACACAAGATAGCTCAGGTTTTAGAGTCAGGTGGACAGATTTGGGGAGTTGGCACCCAAATTTACTTCTTGCAAACTGCACAATCATGGATGCACTTCTTAAATGTCTTCCAGTTCTAGTTTTCTTGTGTGTAAACTGAGCTCAGGAATACCTATTTCAGAAGGTGGAGGGTGGGGTTGGTGCTGTGGCACAAAAGGTTAAGCCACTAGCTGAAACGCTAGCATCTCATGCTGGAGTACTTGTTCGAGTCCCAGGTGCCCCACTTCTGATTCAGTTCTCTGCTGATGTATCTGGAGAAGCATTGGAAAATGGATGTGTTTGGACTCCTGACACCCGGGAAGGAGACCCAGATGGAGTTGTGGCAATTTGAGGAGTGAGCCAGTGATGGAAGATTGTCTCTCTCTCTCCCTCTTTCTCTCTCTTTAACTCTGTCTTTCAAATAAATTTTTAAAAAGAAAAAGGTTCACATAACACCAGCAATATGCCTAACAAAGCACCTGGGCTTCAGGTAGGAACATAATGCAAAGTCATTTCACCAAGGAATTAGCCATGGGAATTCATTGTCTCCAGGCTTTCACTGTACAATGTGACTGGCCTCACTTTTCAGAAAGGACAGGGGCTCAGCGTAAACTGGCATGTTCACTTTCATCAACCACTTTTTGCAAGAGGCTGTTCAGGTACCCTAATCCACTGGGTCTTGGAGGAAAGAAGGCAAGACAATGTGGACATCTGGGGTCCCACCACCACCCTATTGGTAAGCATTTTACTTCTACAAAGCCTTGCAATTAGGGTGGGGTGGGACCCTAGCTCAGGGTTGGTGCTGAGAGAGGACACCTGCCTCCCCTGCACTGTGCATGGTTTCCTTACAGGTGCATAGAACTCTGGGAGGGGATTATAGGTGAGCCCAGGTGAGTCAGTTACCTCCACCTGAGGCAGCCTCATTAATTCGTATCTCATCTCACTCTGGCTCAAGACAGGAAAAAGATGCAAGTATCTCAGAGTGTGTCCACTGCCAACCTGCAGACTCCCCACCATCCTCACTCCATGCTCCCATTCCCCTAGAGTCCTCCCTGAGGGTCACTTGCAAACTACTTTTCCTCTGGCCCAAATGGACCAAGCCTGCTCTCTCCCTTCACACAAACCACTGCAAGACCACAGATGTGGAGACCGGGACTGCTGCTGGCCTTTACTCCACGGCGAGGAAAGGCTGGTTTGTGGGCTCGTAACTACAGCCTCTCCAAGACTCAAGCACTCACAGAATGGGGCAGAGTCAGAATGTCTTTAACGTGGACTTGCATTCTGGGGAGCAGAGGGCACAAACTGTCACTGGTTTGGGGACACAGATGAGGACCTGTCAGTATTTTCAAACTAAGGCCGTACTAAAACAGGGAATTGTTTATCTCCATACTGAATCAAGCAGGTAAGACAGAAACCAGAATGAGCTGCCTCAACACAAAACTATCCCTGCCTCATCTGGACCCCGAACACTGCATGCCACAAAAGGGCAATGTAGAAAACAGCAGGTCATGTCCAGATTGAGGCAAACCCCACACATGCTGGCTTCCCACAGGGGCCACAGGAAGTCATGAATCCCTTCTCTAGCACCCTTAGAGAACCTGCTTGGCTTCAGAGAGAAAACTCCAAGGGCAGTTACGAGGATTCATCAGCTCCAGGCCTTCCTTTTATTTTTATATATGTATTTGAAAGAAAGCAGAGTGACAGAGAGAAAAGATAAAGAGATCTTCCATATGCTGATTCACTTGCCAAATGGTAGCAAAACAGCCAACCGAGGCTGAAGCTACAGGCTTGGAATTCCATCCAGGTCTCCCAGGTACCACCTGCCTTCTTCTGCTTTCCCCGCATCAGCAGGGAATTGGATTGGAAGTGGAGCAGCCGGGGCTCAATTTGGTGCTCTAGTATGGGATATGCATGTCATAAGACCACAGCCTGACCTGCTGTGCTACAACACTGCCCCTGTACGTGCTATGTATGCCTCCGTGCCTGCTATACCTCATGCTCACACTACAGTGTTTCATAAAGAAGTTGCCAATAAAACAATTTTAGAATCTGGCATTTGAGCTGAAAATTTTTTATAGGAAACATGGACCACAGAATATCTGTGTGTAGTCCCTGCAGAATAAAAAAGATAGGTTTAATAAAGATGCTAACTCAATAGCTTTGACTGGATGGTATGTGACAAAGAACTGGTACACAGACAAGAAGTGGCATGTCCCCAAGCCCAAGGGTATCAAACATTTAAAGGTGGCTCTCCTTCAAAGCCATCCACTAATACAAAGCAGACATACGCATGCAAGTCCAAGAGAAAGCCACTCCCATACAAAAGAGTTTGCTACTGTTTGATGGCCAGCTCCTGTCCCTGCCACCAGTACATGACCTGTTGGCAAGCATCTCTTGGGGAGCACTCTGCTCAGCAGAGGTGGCCCTGACTATCCATACCAGACTCCCCTCCATCCATGAGCACTACAGCTGCATACACCTGGGCTAAGCACTTCCCCTCCTTACCCACAGCACACACACCACTTCCCACCGTAGTCGCAACTCTGTGAGGAGTGTCATGTAACATTCCAGGCACATTGAAAGGGTTCTTTGGCTTTTGTCAGTGAACAGAGATCAGGCCATGCATGTCTGTACAAACTCAACAAAGGACATGGACCGCTGCAGCCAGACCTGGCTCTCAGCAGTAGTAGCAAGACAACACAGGAAGCATCCTAAACACTATGCCAAGCACGGGGTGGCTCCGGAGTGAAACCTTAAATGTCAGTCCAATGAAAGGAAGAATGTCCCCAAACAAAGCCTCCATGGGAAGTGATGCCCTGAGCCTGGAGGTGCAGGTGTATTCTGTGAGCATTCCTGAGCTCAGCCATGTCTAGGTGTGCCGTGGCACCCTTCAACTCATGTGGAGCATGTGCAATCTCTCCTCCACCTCACTTTCTCTTCTCTTGACAAAATTCATCCATTAAGATATTTTGCTGCCCAAATCACACACTTCTCTCACCATTATTCTGAAATAGTTATCCAGCAAGACAGAGGGCTGGCTCTAGGCTCCAGCCTCATGATCAGGAGCTAATCAACCTCTCAGAGCCCCAGTCTCCTTGTTGACAACATGAGGCTAACAGTGGGATGGAATTCATTGAGTCGGTATGCAGATTAAGTGGATGATGATACATGTCAAACTCAGGTGCTGGGGCTGGTGTCTGGCATAGTGAGTTAAGTCACTGCCTGCAATGCCAGCATCCTATGTGACTGCGAGTTCGAGTCCCAGTTACTCCACTTCCAATCCAGCTGCCTGCTAATGACTTACGAAAAGCAGCAGAGGATGGCCTAAGAGCTTGGGTTCCTGAGTGAAGTTCCTACTTCTTCGCTTTGGACTGGTCCAGCCCTGGTTTTTGCAGCCATCTGGGGAGAAGTGCAGTGGATGGAAGATCTTTCTCTCTCCTCTCTTCATAATTTTCAAATAAATAAATAAACCATTTTAAAAAAAAAACCCTGCTGAGGTACCTTGTCCAGTGCTTAATTTCAGATAATGCCCCATAAATGGTAACATCTGCTGATTCCTTCTCTGAGGTTCCAGTCTCTCTCTAAGCCGGCAGCCCTAGAAGCCAGTTAATGTTTCATCCCAACACCTCGTCTACTGTTCACCAGGCTGTATTTTTAAAGTCCTGATGGGATCCAGCAAGGGCAACATACTTCTGTGCAACCCACCAGGAAGGGGTGCAGTGGTGGAGACCAGCCTCTTCGGGAGGCCTTGCTGCACACACAGGATCAGCCTCAAGGGGCCCACTGGGTGAATGCTAAACCCCTGCATAACCCCATAGCTGGCTCCTTCCCCTGAACACACCGATCACACCAGTTACAGCTTCCCCACCCCCATTTGGTCGATTTCAGCCTTGCCTCTCCCTGAGCTGCTGTTGTATTCCCCAAGGCCCTTCCTCCTCCTGTCCACCTGAGCACAGTCAAGGTCACTGATGTCCCCAGCTCCCCAAACCATGGGCCAACCTAGTCTTTCCTCAAGGGTCATGTTGCCAGCCATGCAGGAAGAATCTGAGCCTCTCTTTTTCTCTGTCTCTCCTCTCTG